TAATTTTCTATTTGGCATTTAAAAAAATTGAAAATTTTGGATTTTTCTCGAAGATGGATCTCTTAGGCAGTTTTCTTGAGGGATTAAAGTCTAGCTAAAAACATAAAAAGAATATTTAAAATAGAAAAGTCCAAAAACATGTCTTTTATTTTCCTTTAGGTGGTAACAATCACCCGTAGTTTTTCTTTGTGCCGCTGTTCTTTTTCATGGGATGTAGTTTGAACCGGGTAGTAGTTTTTTTTAATTTTTAGAGTAGATTAATATTTAGAAAATAAATGGAGGAAAATGATGAACCTAGGCGCCTTTGACTTGTTTGATAGTAGCATATTTAGGCTTTGGCATATGTAATATCTTCCCTATTTGTTTGAAATTGAGCATGATGCCTTTATATATTGGATAGTATGTCTTGTGACTCCTATGTCACTTTTACTTGACTATTGTTCACTTTGTTATTAATACTTAATATCTTGTGACTCTGTGAATATTTGCATTATTTGAGAGTTAGAATGAGACTGTCCTTAGTGAGTCATGTGCCATGTGTGATGTGAGATTTTGTGTAGTCCATGTTATTGTGATTGAGTTTAGAACTTGCCTGGTATGTGAGCTAAAGCAAAATTTTAGGTGATGATCAGTTTGAAAAATGATTTTAGGTATTCTTTGATCATTTTGATCTTAGTGCTTAGCACAAATAAAATTGATCTCTAGTAAACTCTTTTGAGCCTATAGACTTTATTTGGAACCCACATTACAAGCTCATATCCCTTTTATTCTTAATTGACATTATTTTGATCATGTTACCTCTTAAAGCACTTTAATTGTGAAATGAGTGGTAGGAGAAGTAAGGACTAAGTGTGGGGTGACTTTCGAGTGAAACCAATGAAAAAAAAGGTGCACTTGTTTTGTAAAACAATACAGCATTAGTAGAAATTAAAAAAAAAAAGGAAAGAAAAGTCTGAAAAAAAAGAGAAGGAAAAATATAGGTCAATAAATTGTTGTCCTGTTCTTGCTAGGGGATTATAAAGTAAACTAGTGCTTAAAGAAAGAGGGCATATTTTTGGGGAGTGATCTTGGTCGTGAAATAAAAGTGGATTTAATAATTTGTGCTTAAAGTTTATTATGCGATGTGTTAAAGTGCTTAGGAGAGTGAACCACTAATCTAAAATATATCCTGTCCATCCCTTAACCCACATTAGAACCATAAAAAGTCCTAATTGATTTTAGATCGAGTAAGCCTACATTAGTGGAGATTTACATTATGGACAAGTCTATGGTTCCAATTACATGCATGTGACTTCTTTTGTAAGAGTGAGCAATTTCTTTGGTATATGTGAGTCCTTAAAATATATTTGAACATTTGATTTGAGTGTGTGAATTCAACTTACTCTCTTGTTCTTATTGTGAGGGCACATAGTTTCATGAGGGATATGTAACATTATTAGACTTCTTTATGATGTTGATTGTTCAATCCATAGGTGCATTGTGATATTAAGTCGATTTTTTGAGGCTAGGATTGTTATAAGCATGTTGTCTTTATTGTGAATATTTCTTTTAAAAAATGGCATAAGTAAAGGGGAAGCATATGTGATTGCATATGCTCGAACTTAATATTGCTATTAACCGCGATCATTGGTATAGTGTGCTTCGATTGTGTAAATATAAAGTGCTCAAGAATAGTGTAATCTGTTGGTTGACTCGAGGACGAGCAACGTTTAAGTGTGGGATAGTGATGTTTGGCTATAAATGTATATTTTTAGTGCATTGCTTACCCTATATTTTAAGGTTTTAGTGATTAAATGTACGACGTTTTGAACTTAATTGTGTCGTTTATGTGTAGGATTGTTGAAAGATTAAAAATACATGAAGGTTACACACATGTACATCAAAGATACACGAAAAGAGCACGAAAAGGCAAAAAATAGGACTAGGCGCCAGAGTGGGCGACGCTTGGTCCTGGGCGAGGTCCACAGGGCGCTAGAGTGGGCGACGCATGCTCAGAGGCACGCTGCACACCAGGCCTCGTGAGCTCTGAGGTAAGGTCTCTTCCCAGTCCGTACTTTAATTGATTCCTACTTAGATTTGGGCTTGGGGACTTCGACCCAAACCTATAAATACCCCTTAAACGTGATTAGTGAGTGGCTGGTCAATTTTGGAGGCAAGAAAAGGCAAAGAAACACAAACGGAGCATGGAATTCATCATTCTTTCATCTTCCATCTAGTATGTATAACTATTATGTTTAAAATAGTATTTTGAGTAATGTCATGAACTTGAGTGGCTAAGAACCTCATTTTTCTGGCGTTATGGGTTGTTATTGACTATTGTAGTTTGACGGTTGATAATATTACTTGATATTATCATATTAATTTGTTTATTCAATCTTGCATGTAATTATTCCGTTGCGTAGCTAACAATAGAGTACTATCTACGAATTTATATTTGAACTCAAAAGTAGGAACTCTAGATTATATATAAGATTGAATAGAGTAAGTTCTTGAATCTGGGCATCAGAGAATATATTCGTGATTAGGATAGATATAGTGTAATTGCCTTACTTAGTTATTTTTACAGGAAATATACATGCGTTCTTGTTAATTCTAATTCTATAGACATATAATCTTAGGTTGGCTTGAATGGGCGAACGAAATGTCGAAAAAACTTTTCAAGTAAAATAAATCCTGCTAATCAACAAATTAGATAAATCATGTGATTAAATCATTTGAAAGAACGCAATAGGAGAGACATTAATCCATAACTACGGAATATTCCCATCTCATTGAATTATTTCTAAGTGTTTGTTTGCCTACTTGCGATCTTATTCTCTTATTAGTTTTGTAGTAATTTAGTTAGTAAAAACTACAATCATCTTACTCAAAATCTTTTGAACAAATAACTCGTAACTAGGTTAGTTTTAGGCAACTACATCACAAATTTTCGTGGGAACGATACTCTCTCATCACTTTATTACTTATCGACCGTGTATATATACGTGTGCGTTTGGACCCAAATTTATCCTAGTATGTGTTAGTTGTACCACTATCCAAAAGGCATATATCTTTATTGCTCATCTTGGATCTAATTGAAAACTAAAGAATTTTATTTTCTTTCGGATGCATATTTGGAACTTAACTTTGAAGAAGATTAGAGTTGTGCTGATAATGTGTTAAAAAAATTAAGCTCAAAGTAATTATTTCAAACAAGGAAATAAACAAGAGAAGTAGAGAGAACTTTCTTACTATTTCTTTCAAGTGCATCATATGTCATATTTCATACCTCTATTTATCCTATTCTTACAAAAAAAAAAAAAAATTCAACAATGAATTACCAATTAAGGTCATGAGGGAAAGTCATGAGGAAATTATGAGGGGGCGAGAATAACAATCATAATAGAAAAGAATAGTAGGGATTAATTACATCATGAAGAAGAATAGTGGGAATAATAGACATCCAGTAAATACTATAATTTACAATAAGAAAACATATATTAATTATGCAATAAAATAGTTCCTTCACCTTGATCTTTAACAGACTTGACTCTTGCCTTTTCATTACGGCAGACTTTGCCTGTCAAATAAACACATTTCAGAAAATAAATATTAGTACTAGTTAAAGAGAAAAGGCATATCAATGAAATAATGTCCTATCGTCCATATGTGATATTCCCCCTGGTTAATGGGAAAAAAAATCAAAAAAAGTCTAATTTACAACTGATGTTTAAAAAAGAGTTATAGTTTCAAAAGTGTAACGACCCGACCAGTCGTTTTGAGTATTTGCACTTAGCTCGCCAGTTCTCGGGCATGACTAGCCTCATATGATGTATTATAACTTATGTAAATCGTCGGTTTTGGTTTTCAGGATAATCGGAATAGATTTGGAAGAACAATTCTCAGCTTGAAGCTTTAAA